AAACCTTCGGTGCCGGAAGGATTTCGCAATCGAGTTTCCGAAAAACATACAAAAACACATGGTTTCGCAACACTGGTTTGCTAAAAAAACTTCCGCGCGAGCTCTTGCGAAATCTTGAGAAAACCATAGGTTTTTTTCAAGATTTTCACAAAATGCTACCAAACGGGCTTCGCGCGCGCGCATGTCGAAATCTGTCGAACGCCCTTGCGCGTGTGCCGTCGCGAGAATCCTCTGCAAAAAATGGGACGAAGTGCAGACGCGCGCGTCGTCGCGGACGTATGCCGAAAACCTTCAAAACCCATCGGTTTCGGAAGGATTTCAAAATCGTGCGTCCAAAAAACCTACAAGAACCCAAGGTTTCGCAACACGGATTTTCAACAAAATCGTGCGCGCGCGCTCTTGCGTCGTCGTCGTCGTCGTCGCCGTCCTCCCTCCTCCCGCGTCGTCGTCGTCGTCGTCGCCTACGTCGTCCTCTGTCTTTTCTCCTGTTTGTCGTCGTCGTCCTCTTTGGCGTCGTGGTCGTTTCCATCGTCGTTGTCGCCGTGGTCGTCCTTCCTCCTCCTCCCACGTCGTCGTCGTCGTCCGTCGTCGGCGTCTCATCGTCGTCCCTCCTATGTCGTCGCCGTCGTCGTCGTCGTTGTCGTCGTCTTCCCTCCTCCCTCGTCGTTGTCGTCGTCGGCGTCGCCGTCCTTCCTCCTTCGTCGTTCGCGTCGTCACCGTCCTCCCTCCTCCTTCGTCGTTGTCGTCGCTGTCGCCGTCGTCGTCCTTCCTCCTTCCTCGTCGTCGCCTTCGTTGGCGTCGTCGTCGTTTTCGTCGTCGTCGGCGTCGGCGTCGTTGTCGTCGTCGAAGTCGTCGGAGACGTCGTCGGTGTCGTCCTAGTCGTTGTCGTCGGTGTCGTCGTAGTCGGTCTTAACAAGTTTTGCAAACCAAGTTGCGGGTGGGTGGGTGGGATGTTTGCGCGAGCAGTGGAGAAGACAACTTCAAGTTCAGCAAATTAATTGCACCGCATAGATTGCACCACATAGGTCGCCGCGCCACCACCACCACCACCCCAGCTTTATCGGCACATCCTCTCGCGTAGCAATGTACATATGATTCTGCCCCATCGCCCATATCCCAGCCCATCCGGGTTCGACCCACCCCTCCATCCGCCGCAAAAAAACCACGACGCACGCATACTCACACATCGAAAATCGTGAGTTTTCAAAAATATCCCAATAGGAAACGGGACGAAGCGCACGCGCCCGCGTCGTCGCGCGCGCATGCCGAAGTCCTTCGAAAGCCGTCGGTTCCGAGAAGATGGTAAAATCGAGCGCGCGCGCGCTCTTGCCAGTTCCTGAGAAATCCATAAGTTGTTTCAACATGTTCAGTACATGCGACCCAACGGGCTTCGCGCGCGCGATTGTCGCAATCGCTCGAACGCCATTGCGCGCGCGCCGTCGCGAGGAATCCTGCGCAAAAAAAACCAACGAGATGCACGCGCGCGCGCGCCGTCGCGCGCGCATGCCCAAATCCTTCAAAAACCGTCGGCGCCGCAACGATTTCCAAGCCGAGTGTCCAGAAGACATACAAAAACACACGGTTTCGCAACATCAGATGTCAGGAAAAGTTCGCACGCGCTCTTGCGAATTCCTGAGAAAATCACGCGCTTTGTTTTCAGCATCTCCACGGAATTATGCCAAACGGGCCTCCGGCGCCGCACGCCGACAACATTCGCGCGCCCTTGCGCGCGTGCTGGGGGGCCACGAACCGCGCCAGATAGAACCGCGCGGGCCGCTCTCGCGCGTCGGCCGCGCGCGCATGTCGAGCTCTTTACAAAACCTTAATTGCAGACGCGACGGCGCCGCCATCATCGTTGGCGCGATCTGCAGCGGCGCCAGCACTGGCCGCGCCTTCGTCGCTGCGAACACCGTCGCCAGCATCGCTACCATCATCAGCTCTACCGCCGTCGGCGCCGCCATGACACCGCGCCCGCCCAAGTCGCCGACTCGCAGTGAAGTGCCCACTGGGATGCGCCCAGCGGCCAGCGCCACCGCGGCCGCGTCGGCGGCGACAAACTGGCCGGCCGCTGCGCGAGCGCACTAGGGTCGGCGCGGCCGCAGAAATGCACCAGACAACGCCAAGCATGCATCGCAACGGCCACCGCGTGGGTTTTGCAAACAAGTTGCGGGCGGGCGGGCGGGATGTTTGCAAGTGGATGGGATGCGCCAACTCGCTTGTTCAAATAAATTGCACCACATGCGTTATCCTCTCTCGCAAGAAAATAGATTCTTCCCCAACCACCCACTGAGAATACCACTCCCCCCCTGGGGTATTCGAATTTACATGTGATTGTGCCTACTTGCCCATTCCCCTTCTGGGCTCATGCCATCCCAGCTAGTCCAGGAATCGGGCCCCTCCCTCAACCCTGTCAAATAAAACCACGCGGCGCATACGCGTCGGTCTACGATGAGCTCGCGGTACGAACCCTGATTAGATGATACCACGCGAGCAACATGCGCGCGCAGGACAAAACCTGACCCAAGGAAAAACCCTTGTTTGTCGTAGCGACTTCAGCACAAACACTTCAGAACCTCAATAGCGTTTCAACTAAAAGCTTTCAAGTGTTCATCCCGCGCGCTTTTGCGGATTCCTAGAAACCCCACGATAAGTGACAACATTCCTCTCCAAGGAGCTTTCGCGCGCACGCCGGACGGATTCTAGCGCACCCGCGCGCTTGCCACAGGCATGACCCCTGTCAAATCACTGCATGCGGGGCACCGTCATCGTCATCTTTGCCGTCGGCGTCGTCTTGATCATTCTCATCGTCGTTTGTCGACGCCGTAGTCCGCGCTGTGTCCCGCAAGATGGACTCTGACCGCGCGACGAGGGTCCGCGTGCCAGTGAACTCGATGATAGTAGCGGAGGAGCTCCACGCTGCAATTGAAGTCGCGAGATTTTGAATTTCGCCAACCACCCCATCGTCGTTCCGCGACGCCGCTGTCCGCGCTGTCTCCCGCAAGATTAGCTTTGCCCGCGCGACGAGGGTCCGCGTGCCAGTGAACGCGACGGAATTTGCAAACGAGCTCCACGCTGCAACTGCAGTCGCGACCTTATGAGTTGTTTTGCCAAGTAGCGGGTTGGAGGGTGGGATGTTTGCACGAGCATGGGAGGTTGTCACGCGCGGTGCAGTGCGGTAAATTCTCCTTGTCTATATATATATATATATATATATATATATATATATATATGTATAAACGCCCGCCCCCCCCCCCCCGGCGTCACCCGCCCCCCTGTCGGGCATGTAAATCATATATGACTCTGACCACATGTCCATCCTAAATAAGAATTTACACTATCCCAGGGGGGCCGGTATCGGTCCCCCTGAGGTTCCCGTGTAAAAAACAATACGCGGGGACACTTTTGTTCTAACATAGAACTTTGTCGCAAATTCCTTACAAACAGCAGATAAAAAATGCACACGCGCGTGTCGTCGCGCGCGCATGCCGAAGTCCTTGAAAAACCTTCGGTGTCGGAAGGATTTCGCAATCGAGTTTCCAAAGAACATACAAAAACACATGGTTTTGCAACACGGAGTTGCTAAAAAAACTTACGCGCGAGCTCTTGTGAAATCTTAAGCAAACCATATGATATTTTAAAGACGGGCTTCGCGCGCGCATGCCGAAATCTGTCGAACGCCCTTGCGAGTGTGGCGTCGCGAGAATCCTCTGCAAAAAACGGGACGAAGTGCAGACGCGCGCGTCGTCGCGCGCAATACCGAAATCCTTCAAAACCCATCGGTTTCGGAAGGATTTCAAAATCGTGTGTCCAAAAAGCTTATAAAAACCCAAGGTTTCGCAACACGGATTTTCAACAAAAGCGTGCGCGCGCGCTCTTGCGTCGTCGTCGTCGTCGTCAGCGTCGTCGTCGTCCTCCCTCCTCCCGCGTCGTCGTCGTCGTCGCCTACGTCGCTGTCTTGCCTCGTGGTCGTCGTCGTCGTCCTCTTTGGCGTCGTGGTCGTTTCCGTCGTCGTTGTCGCCGTGGACGTCCTTCCTCCTCCTCCCTCGTCGTCGTCGTCCGTCGTCGGCGTCTCGTCGTCGTCCCTCCTATTTCGTCGCCGTCGTCGTCGTCGTCGCTGTCGTCGTCGTCTTCCCTCCTCCCTCGTCGTTGTCGTCGTCGGCGTCGCCGTCCTTCCTCCTTCTTCGTCGTTCGCGTCGTCGCCGTCCTCCCTCCTCCCTCGTCGTTTTTTTTTGTTTAGTCGTCGTTGTCGTCGTTGTCGCCGTCGTCGTCCTCCCTCCTCCCTCGTCGTCGTCTTCGTTGGCGACGTCGTCGTCGTCGTCTTCGTCGTCGTTATTGGCGTCGGCGGCGTCGTCGTCTTCGTCGTCGTCGACGTCGGCGTCATCGTCGTCGTCGCCGCCGTCGTCGTCGTCGGCGTCGTTGACGTCGTCGTCGTCGTCGGTGTCGTTGTTGTCGTCGTCGCCGGCGTCGTCATCGTCGTCGTTGTCATCGTCGTCGTCGTCGGCGGCGTCGGCGTCGTCGTCATCGTCGTCGGTGTCGTCGTCGTCGTCGTCGTTGTCGGCGTCGTCAAAGGAAGTCGTTGGAGACGTCGTCGGTGTCGTCGTAGTCGTTGTCGGCGGCAGCGTCGTCGTCGTTGTCGCTGTCGTCATCGGCGTCGCTGTCGTTGCCAAGTGCCATTTGGTACCCACCGTCACGGTCTTAAGAGACTTTGCAAACCAAGTTGCGGGTGGGTGGGTGGGATGTTTGCGCGAGCAGTGGAGTGGACAACTCACTGCGAACAGAAATTAATTGCACCTCATAGATTGTACCGCAGAGTTGCATTACATAGCGTGCATCACATACATTGCACCACATAGACGGGACTCACTGCGAGCCTCTTGGGGTCATTGTGGGGCCCTCCTGGGGCCATCTTGGATGCCTGCGGGGCCCTCCTGGGGCAAGTTTGGTGAGACGCCGACGCAGGGAGGCCGCGAAGAGCAGCGCGAGGAGGACCCCGCGGGCGCCGTCCTCCGTCGCCAGCCGCTCGGCCTCGGACCGGCCGCTCGACGCCGCACCCTGCGGGTTTGCGCCGCCGCCCCTCCTTGTCCTCCTCCTCCTCCTCCTCCTCCTCCTCCTCCTCCTCCTCCTCCTCCTCATCTCCTCCTCCTCCTCCTCCTCCTCCTCCTCCTCCGTCTTCCTGTTTCCGCCTCCTCGTCCCTCCGTCTCCTCCTCCTGCTCCCAGAGACCTTTCCACCTCCCCCTCCTCCTCCATCCTCCTCCACCTCCTCCTCCTCCTACTGCTCCTTCTCCTCCTCCTGCTGCTCCTGACCGTCCTCTTCAGCCTATTTACTCCTCTTCCCCTCCCCCATCCTCCTCCTCCATCTCCTCCTTCTCCCCTCCCCCCTCCCTCCTCATCAATCACCACCACCACCACAACAACAACAACAACAACAACAACAACACAACAACAACAACAACCAACAACAACACAACAACAACAAAAAACAACAACAGCAGCGCAGCAGCGCAGCAGCAGCAGCAGCAGCAACAACAACAACAACACAACAACCAACAACACAACAAGCAACAAACACCACCACCACCACCACCATCCACCACCACCACTCCACATCACCACCGCCACCGACCACCACCTACCCCACCCACCACCACCACCACCACCACAACAACAACAACAACAACAACAACAACAACAACAACAACAACAACAACAACAACAACAACAACAACAACAATCATTTTACCCTCATGCGCGATGTTTCCACACGAAGCATGCGACCATAATGATAATCATCCACGTAATGGGGAACTCCTGTTCTATGGCGGGGTCCGTTATTCCCATTCCAAGATATCCCGCCCAATGAGGTCTTGCAAACACCTCCTCCGAGGAAGTTCAACAGATCCCGCCTCGAAAACACATACCCGCGCCTTGCTGCGCCGATGCGAGACCGCCAGTGGAACCCTAGCAAAGGGTAAAGCACAAGGGAGTATCGAACGACAGGATTGCCTAGGTGGGGATGGGGGCTGTCGGCGGTGAGGCAAGGACCTGGCCCTGAATAGAAGAGGAAGTCTCGAGCAGGGCTGCTGTTGTTGTTGGGAGCGTCGCCAATGCTGAAAAGAGTAGGGCGCTGGTCCAGCGTAAAACAAAACAAAGTCTCGAGCGGGAACGCTGGTTTTGTTGGGACGGCGGCTTTCGGCGGCGAGGAGGAACACCGCCGTAATTCAAAAAGGAGGAAACATCGAACGGGAGCCGTGGTTTTGTCGGGACGGGGGCTGTCGGCGGCGAGGAACAGCACCGTCCCGGGGAAACCAAAAAAAGGACATCTCGACCAGGAGCGTTGTTCTTGCTGGGAGCGGCGCCAATTCAAAAGAGAGTAGGGCGCCTGTCCAACGCAAAACGCGTAAAACGAAAGGAAGTCTCGGGCGGGAGCGCTGGATTTGTGGGGGCGGCGGCTTTCGGCGGCGAGGAGGAACACCGCCGTAATTCAAAAAGGAGGAAACATCGAGCGGGAGCCGTGGTTTCGTCGGGACGGGGTTTGTCGGCGACAAGGAACAGCACCGTCTTCAGGAAAAAGGGAGGAAGCCTCGAACGGGAGTGTTGTTCTTGCTGGGAGCGGCGCCAATTCAAAAGAGAGTTGGGCGCCAGTCCAACGTGAAATTGGAGGATGTCCTAGGCGGGAGCGCTGGTTTTGTCGGGGCGGCGGTTTTTGGCGGCGAGGAGGAGCACCGCCTTGAGAAAAAAAGGGAGGAAGCCTCGAGCGGGAGCGTTGTTCTTGCTGGGGGCGGCGCCGATGAGAGAAGGACGAACGCGCCAATCCAAGGTAAAACGGAAGGAAATCTCGAGCGGGAGCGCTGGTTTTGCTACGACGCCGGCTTTCGGCGGCGAGCAATAACACCAGCCCTGAGAAAAATGGAGGACGCCTCGAGCGGGAGCGTTGTTGTTGTTGGGGGGCCGGTTTGGGCGGTCCCCCAAACCGCTCGAACGTGAGCCTCATTTCCAATGGAAATGTAGCCGGCGCCTCGGCGAAAGTGACAGAGCGCCCTCAAGGTGTCCAACAATAATAACTGTTTAGGCATCAACATGCAACAACCACAACAACAACAACAACAACAACAACAACAACAACAACAACAACAACAACAACAACAGCAACAACACCAACAACGACAACTACAGCAACAATAACAATAACAAGAACAACATCAACCGCAACAAGAATAACAACAACCACAACAACAAGAACAATATCATTAACAACAACAACAACAACAACAACAACAACAACAACAACAACAACAACAGCAGCAGCAGCAGCAGCAGCAGCAGCAGCAACAACAACAACAACAACAACAACAACAACAACAACAACAACAACAACAACAACAACAATAACAGCAGCAAGAACAGCAACAACAATAACAATAATATGGATAACATCAGCAGCAGCAACAATAATAGCAGCAGCAACAACAACAACAATTATTATTATAAGACTGTTCGCTCGTACTGGCTCGTGTGTCATTCAAGACGAGTTCCCCACACCCTCGATACCCGCCCTTTTTGTCTTCGATCAAGCCCCCTTGGGGGGGGGATTGTTTCTCTTTGCGGGGGGCGGCTGGCTTAGACAGGCGGGCAAACCTGAACGGGCGGACAATCCTTCGTGGGCGTACGTGTGCCCGCCATTGGAATTGGTGTGGGGCCTGCAAGAAAAGGAGGGGGAGAACGAGGGAGGGCGGGAGGAAGGGAGGGGGAGGGACGAAGGAAGAGGGAAAACGCCAGGAGAGAAGGAGCGAAGAGGGGGCGGTTGATTAGAGGCAGAGAGAGAGAGAGAGAAATAAAACAAATAGTATCCCGGCAAAGCAACCTAACAGCGATGTGTAGGAGCATATCTGGAAGCATTCCCCTTAAGATCCAGATGAGAATCCAGTTGTAGAATTCTGCTGTTCTCGCAGTCGTAGTCGAATTCGCGATGACAGTCGCAGTGGCAACGGCAGTCGCAGTCACAGCCTCAGCCTCAGCCTGCCTCAGCCTCAGCCTCAGCATGCCTCAGCCTCAGCCTGCCTCAGCCTCAGCCTCAGCCTGCTTCAGCCTCAGCATCAGTCTGCCTTCAGCCTCGGCCTCAGCCTCAGCCTGCCTCAGCCTCAGCCTGCATCATCCTCAGCCTCAGCCTCAGCCTGCCTCAGCATCAGCCTGCCTCAGCCTCAGCCTCAGCCTGCCTCTGCCTCAGCCTCAGCCTGCTTCAGCCTCAGCCTCAGTCTGCCGTCGGCCTCGGCCTCAGCCTCAGCCTGCCTCAGCCTCAGCCTGCATCAGCCTCAGCCTCAGCCTCAGCCTGCCTCAGCCTCAGGCTGCCTCAGCCTCAGCCTCAGCCTGCCTCAGCCTCAGCCTCAGCCTGCTTCAGCCTCAGCCTCAGTCTGCCTTCAGCCTCGGCCTCAGCCTCAGCCTGCCTAAGCCTCAGCCTGCATCAGCCTGAGCCTCAGCCTCAGCCTCATCAGCATCAGCCTCAGCCTCAGCCTCATCTCAGCCTGAGCCTCACCCTGCCTCCGCCTCAGCCTCATAGCCTGGCTTCAGCCTCACCTCAGCCTCATTCTGCAAGCCTCCTTGCCGCATCAGCCTCGTCCTCAGCCTCAGCCTGCCTCAGCCTCAGCCTGCATCAGCCTCAGCCTCAGCCTCAGCCTGCCTCAGCATCAGCCTGCCTCAGCCTCAGCCTCAGCCTGCTTCAGCCTCAGCATCAGTCTGCCTTCAGCCTCGGCCTCAGCCTCAGCCTCAGCCTCACCCTGCATCAGCCTCAGCCTCAGCCTCAGCCTGCCTCAGCATCAGCCTGCCTCAGCCTCAGCCTCAGCCTGCCTCAGCCTCAGCCTCAGCCTCAGCCTGCCTCAGCCTCAGCCTGCATCAGCCTCAGCCTCAGCCTCAGCCTGCATCAGCATCAGCCTGCCTCAGCGTCTGCCTCAGCCTGCCTCAGCCTCAGCCTCAGCCTGCCTCAGCCTCAGCCTGCCTCAGCCTCAGCCTCAGCCAGCCTCAGCCTCAGCCTCAGCCTCAGCCTGCTTCAGCCTCAGCCTCAGTCTGCCTTCAGCCTCGGCCTCAGCCTCAGCCTGCCTCAGCCTCAGCCTGCATGAGCCTCAGCCTCAGCCTCAGCCTGCCTCAGCATCAGCCTGCCTCAGCCTCAGCCTCAGCCTGCCTCCGCCTCAGCCTGCCTCAGCCTCAGCCTCAGCCTGCTTCAGCCTCAGCCTCAGTCTGCCTTCAGCCTCCGCCTCAGCCTCAGCCTGCCGCAGCCTCAGCCTGCATCAGCCTCAGCCTCAGCCTCAGCCTGCCTCAGCTGCCTCAGCCTGCCCCTCAGCCTGCATCACCTCAGCCTCGCCTCGTCTGCCTCAGCCTCAGCCTCAGCCTGCTTCAGAAAGAAAAAGCCCTCAGTCTGCTTCGGCCCTCGGCCGCAGCCTCAGCCTGCCTCAGCCTCAGCCTGCCTCAGCCTGGCCCAGCCTCAGCCTCAGCCTGCCTCATCAGCCTCAGCATCAGCCTGCCTCAGCCTCAGCCTCAGCCTGCCTCAGCCTCAGCCTCAGCCTGCTTCAGCCTCAGCCTCAGTCTGCCTTCAGCCTCGGCCTCAGCCTCAGCCTGCCTCAGCCTCAGCCTGCATCAGCCTCAGCCTCAGCCTCAGCCTGCCTCAGCATCAGCCTGCCTCAGCCTCAGCCTCAGCCTGCCTCAGCCTCAGCCTCAGCCTGCTTCAGCCTCAGCCTCAGTCTGCCTTCAGCCTCGGCCTCAGCCTCAGCCTGCCTCAGCCTCAGCCTGCCTCAGCCTCAGCATCAGCCTGCCTCAGCATTCAAAATGTGGCCCGGGAATGGAGTTCTGGGAACTCGAAGAACACGAAGTGGCCTACAGTTGGCTCCGGGCATTCAAAATCATGCCCAGGAATGGAGTTCTGGGAACTCGAAGACCACGAAGTGGCCTACAGTTGGCTCCGGGCATTCAAAATCATGCCCAGGAATGGAGTTCTGGGAACTCGAAGACCACGAAGTGGCCTACAGTTGGCTCCGGGCATTCAAAATCATGCCCAGGAATGGAG